TATTTGACAGAGAGAGACACAGCGAGAGAGGGAACACAAGCAGGGGGAGTGGGAGAGGGAGAAGCAGGCTCCCTGCAGAGCAGGGAGCCCGATGTGGGACTCGATCCCAGGACCCTAGGATCATGACCTGAGCCGAAGGCAGTCGCTCAACCGACTGAGCCACCCAGGCGCCCTGTGACTTTATTTCTTAAAAAGTTCATTTACTGGGCACCTGGGTGGCTCAGTCATTAAGCGTCTGCCTTCGGGTCAGGTCATGATCCCAGGGTCCTGGGGGGTCGAGCCCCGCATCGGGCTCCCTGCTCCGCGGGAAGCCTGCTTCTCCCTCTGCCGCTCCCCCTGCTTGTGTTCCCTCTCTGGCTGTGTCTCTCTCTGTCAAAACAAATAAAATCTTAAAAAAAAAAAAAAAGTTCATTTACTTATTTAAGTAATCTCTACACATGGGGCTTGAACTCACCACCCCGAGATCAAGAGCCGCATGCTCCTCCGACTGAGCCAGTGAGGCGCCCCCTATGTCTTTACTTTTAAATGTGCTAGACACCATGCAAAGCCAATTTTCCTGGCATGTGCTGATTGTGTAGTACTGCAGGACAGCCATGGGTTTGGAGTTGGGAAGAAGTAAAGCAGACCCATGTTTTCTTGTGTGGGATCTTGTCGACTTTTAGTGCAGACAGGAAGATGCTTTTAATTCAAAGAGAAAATAGTGACCGTAGGGCTTGGAACCTGATCTGGGTGTCGCGGAGGTGTGGAAGCAGTGTTCTCTCTGCGCCTCACTGCCTGTTGCTGTGGAATGAGGGTCGAGCAGAGACTGCAGGGCATTTTGTTTTGTTGACCCCCTGCTGGGGCTGCATGACCAGCACATGCTCCTTGTGTGTAGTTTAGCATGTGCTTTGCGGGTAGGTTGGTTGAAAGTGGCGCTTGTTGTGTTTACAGCTTTATTAAGTTTCTCTGCTCTAAAAACTGGAAGATCTGTTAGGTCTAACTGCTTTATTTGTAGCAAAGGTTCCTATCTCAGGAGCATGCACTCTCATGGGAGAAGCAGAGTTAGGGTCTGGCTGCCTTGTGCCAGCCTTTCTCATGCCCTGAAGTAGCACCTTGGGTAGCCTGAGATGCCCTTGGCCTGATGGCCAAACCATCTCTGCAGAACCTGTCAGAGAAGGGGTGTTGGTTCTCTCCACAGTTGCCCCCAACACCCATGACCTGTCCTCTTACCCTTGCTTTTTTCCTTGATGGAGACCTCTTCCCTGTCTACTTATCTGTAACTTCTTATTGATGCTTTCCGACCTTATTTGTCTCTGGCAGATATCAACCTGAATTCTCCTAACAAAGGTCTGCTGTCCGACTCCCTGACAGATGTCCCTGTCGACACAGCGTTGGCTGCCCAGACTCCTGCTGTTGAGGGTCTGACCGAGGCTGAGGAGGAGGAGCTTAAGGCTGAGCTTGCAAAGGTGCCGTGTCTTGGCTGTCTGTCTTGGGACCATGAGTTCAGGCCCCCTCATTAGCCTGAGGGGGCCAGAGTGCTAGCTGTGCTCCGCGGAAATTGCCCTGGGAGGTTATTCCTAGAGTCCCACAGAAACTGCTCTTCGTGGCGGCTTTGTGTGTACTTGGCGCCTCGTTAAGTATTCCATGAGGAGAATGTCTACACGGGGACAGCTGCTCTGAGCACACCATCTATTGGGAGTGTCTTTGTTGATATTAACACTTGACAGTTTCCAGACTCCACAAACTCTCTGTTTCTGGATCTTCATTTTTCTTTTAAAAATACTTCTTTTGTAAAAAGTGTTTCATGTGATTTTTTTTTTAAAGTGAGTCCTTTAAGAGGAAATGGTAATTAAAAGTCAGAATCTCCAAGTATAATTTTTATTCATAGCAGCTGCCAGGAATGTTTCTTTTTATTGTATGGTGCAGAATCAAATGGTAACTCACTTGGGATTCAAAATCTGGCGACATGAACTTGCTGGTAATCTGAGTGTACCATCCGGTCCGGCAGAGGCTGGTGCACTGCCTGTCACAGGCCTCTGCTCTGTCTCCAGAGATGAGCCCCGTGTTGATGCATCCTGAGTCTGAAAAAGAGCTGGCTCTGCAGATGAGCCTCAGCCCCACGACCAGGTTTCAGATCATGGGGGAGTACGTACAGCTGTTTCTGAGTTGAGTGCAGGTTAGGGGGCCACAGCAGGCAAGCTTTGCACTAGGTCATTTCAGAGCTGAGCTGCAGAGTGGAGAAGCTCAGTGTCACTTAAAATATTCAGTGTGCACTTCCCCCAAGACAGCTGGATTGCACACCCTCAAGCCCTGTCGATCGTCACACCATGGATGGAATGTTCCAGTCAATGGTCGTTACTGCAGAAGTAACTGGTAGCAGTCCGGCCTTAGATGATCCTATGTTTGTAAATTATTTCCTGTTTCAACTATTTTTTGATGGAAAACCTAGTGATATAAGGGCTCTGAGCTACTTTTTATTACCTTACCCCAAACCATCATTTTTTTAAGAGAAGGACTTTTTTTTTTGGCAGCTATTGACACAGGAGCTGAAAACAGACCTCTGGAGTCGTGAAGCTCTAGAGGATGTTTCTTTTTCAGGTTGCATCCCTTTTTTAATTTTAGGGCCTGAGAAGGTTCAGGTCTTTATTGTCAGGATTCTTTCTGTTATCCGATTCAGACTGCCTTAAGCACAAGGCTCGGGTAACTGCCTTTCCTGCAACCTCAGGAACATACATGTTGTCATAAGGGCTGTTGCTGTGCCACCCATCCGTCTGTCAGTTCCACTTCCTTCCAAGTGCAGGTGGGGCCTGGCTGCAGCACTTCCAGCCTCTGAGCCTGGAGGGAGAGGGGCTTGTCTCTCCTGACACCTGTGCCCAGTCCCAGGGGAGAGCTCGGACAGGCCTTGCTTGGTGATCCATGGGTGGGCACAGTGATTGGTAGCCCCACCGGGAGCCACTTGGCTTGGGGGGATGGGACAGTCCTCCTGAAGAAGTTGGATAAAAACAGAACAGTTGCTTGACATAGACGGACTCTGTTCCTCAGACAAGTTGTTTCTGTAAGCAGAAAGTCCGAGAACCCTCTCATTGCAGTGTGTGTGAGGATGTTGGTCACTTCCCGCAATAGTGGCAGCTAATCACATCGGCTGTGTCCTTTTACAGGTGGAAGAGGAAATTGTCACTCTGCGCCAGGTCCTGGCGGCCAAGGAGAGGCACTGTGCTGAGCTGAAGAGGAAGCTGGGCCTCTCTGCCTTGGAGGGCCTGAAGCAGAACCTGTCTAAGAGCTGGCATGACGTGCAGGTCTCTAACGCGTAGGTACCTGCCCTGCGGCACAGATGCCTCTGACGGTCAGAGGCTGTGCACCAGAGCGGTGCCCCTGCTACGTCAACGGGAGGCTAAGTACTAGGGGACTTGATATGCCTCTGTGCTGGCAGCCAGCCAGAGGCTCTGAGCCCTTGACCTAGCAGCTGGTATGTATCCAAAGAGCTCAGAGTCCATACATACTTTTAAAAGGCCGGTGGATACACTAGCTAGTTGTCGAAGCGGAAATTGACAAGAATGTATTTAGGGTCCAAATTTGAGAGAAAGCTCATTAGGTCCTTAATGAGACTGATTTTCCTGTGATCCCCCATAGCTCACTGTCTGCTGAAGCGGACACAAGTCCTTCTCATGAGCATGATGTGGTCACAGCCCCAAGCCCTCTGACCCAGATGTGACTCAGCTCTCTGAACTTGGGAAGTGTAGCTACATGGCTCTTCTGAAATGTATCCTCCAGGGTTTGGGGGGCGGGGCGTGGGTTTGGGAAATGTTTCCCACTGTCTATGAAGCTGTGTCCCTGCAGGAAGATTGAATCGCATTTCATCAAAGTCACCTACAAAAGCCCATTTCTCGGTCCCAGGGAATCCTAGGTTTTGAATCCCAAAGGGTGACTGGCAGAGAAGTGTTTGGGGGCCATGGGCTGTGTGTGCCTTCCTTGCTCCTCACAGCAGTACTGTTCCCTGAGGGCCATCTTACATGGAGTGACCAGGCACTCCCTAAGCATGATAGGAAAAGGACTGGTCGGTTCTGCCATCGCCTCACCTGGCCTCAGCAAGGCCTGCCCAGCAGGTGTTGAGAGGAGGGGCAGACCCTGTTCTCAGGCAGGCTGGAGACCCACCATTCCTGCTATCCAGCCCTCCGTGCTCCCTGGAATTTCACCTGTAGTTCAAAACCTTAGTTGAAACAATTGTTCTAAATAATTTACCACAGACTTTCTGTTTTTAGCTATATGAAAACTTCTGAGAAACTTGGAGAGTGGAATGAGAAAGTGACCCAGTCAGACCTGTGAGTGCCTTTGCTCTCAGCACCTCCCTCCTCCTCCTCTTCCTCTCGACACTCCTTTTAGGGACAGGGAGGCTGTGTGCACTTGGCACAAACCTAGTTTTAGTGTTTGGGGCTATTCTATTTTTAATACAGTTTTTTTTTTCTTAAACACAAATGAGAGTGTAACTCTCATGAAATGGGTGCAGTCGCTGAAGGAAATTTCCTCAGCCACCAGACCACACTGAAAACCTCCGTCTGGCTGACATGGATGCGTCCCTTAGATGAGAGGCCTGGCTGGGCTTGGGCAGCATCTCTGGCTAGAAGGCGCCCCTCACCTTGCGAGTGGGCAGAGTGGCTAAGCACCATCTGGACTGGTGCTGATGGTGATTTGGGGCTTTTTTTTGGTCTTCTCTGCCCTGCAGACCTAGCTCCAGCTGAAGGGGATTCTCAGAGCTCACTCATACTTAGGGGTGGTTCTTGAGTGAGGGCTGCCACACAGGCCATGCTGGTGGGATCTTGAAGTTGCATTGGTCTGAGGGGCACAGAGCTGTCAGCCACACAGAATATTAGCAGAGTAGGAAACACACGGATAGGTTTTCATGTCCGTCAAGGCTGTAGTTCAGAATGAGTCCTGATGTTTTATTTGAGATCCTTACACAAGGTAATAGCACTTCTTTTATCTGTGCTGCGGTCTGATTATAATTCCTTTGAACTGGATGAGGTAACATTTTAAAATAGTGGTTTCTGGGAATCTTTTCCCTCTCTTGTTGAGGAGGAAGTGCTGTGGTGTCTCCAGAGAGCATGACCAACAGGCCTCTGTGTCTGACTGGAAGGAAGTGGTTGTGACCGAGCTCGTCTTCACGGCGCCTGGGACCCCAGGTCAGCTGGCTCTGTGCTCAGAGTCTTCGCAGCCTGGTGTCACCAGGGGAGCTGGGTGCCAGGGCGCTCTGGCGGGTCCCGCCGTTCGTGTGGTTTGGTGTGACGGCTGTCCCCGCCACGGCCTGCTGTGCTGTGTCTTCGGGGCTGTAGCGGACGATGCCTTCACGGTGTTGCAGCTGTTCTGGAGGCTGAGACAGTCGCTGTCATCTGTGCAGTTTGGGCACCAGGCAGGCTCACGGTGTGGACTTAACCTAAGAAGAGCCTTAGGAGACTTTAGTGCTGTTTGTAAAACCAGGTGACATAAGGTTGCTGGGATATGGTTTCAAATAATTACGTGGCTCTGGGCATGGAAGTGGCTGGTGGGATGGCCCTTCCCAAGCACCTCTCCAGGTGGCAGCCATTCCCCTGAGGCCTCACCCCCAATTCCGTTGGTGGGAGAGTTGCCAAATTGAAGCCCCCAGAGCGTTCCTGCAGGGACAGCCCAGGAGGAGGATGACCCAGCTTGTGGTCGCTGCAGGAGGCTGCTGGCGGGGTGCGGCTGCCCTGAGGGCTCTCTCAACCAGCAAACACATCTGTGCACTGGCTTTCATGAGGCCGTGGTGGGCGTAAGCAGCGTTCTCTTGGCTGCGAAGTGGTTGCCATTGGGTTCTGTCTATTACTAGACGGAGCTAAACTCGTGCAGAGGGGGCACCAGGTAAACTCCGCGGCCACTGGTTGGTATGTTGAGTCCTTCAGCTGTACGTGACGGAAAGCACAGACGTGGATGGTGTCAGCCTTGTCCAGCTCCTCCTTCCTGGTGCAAGGGGGTGCCCGGTGGTGCAGGTTTGAGTCTTTGTAGTATTGCAGCTCAACAGCAAGAGGGCCTGGTGTGGGTCTCACTGGACTCTCACTGTGGTTGGGGAGCTGTAAACTTCCCTGGCTGTCCACAGTGCGATCATGCCCACCCAGACTTGGAGGTGGGAGCAGCCCCCAAGGGAAGATCCTGGAGCAGGTACCTCCAGCAGATGCCCCACACTGACTATGATGGGAGGGAGCCTGGTATTTGTCAGGATTCTACACTTTTGTTTTCCTAAAAGGTAGTAGTAATTCTCAAAGGGGTACTGGCCAGGGTGGCTCAGCCTAGCGCTCTTGAGCACGTCTGGGCCCCAGTTACCTGCATACAGACTCTGACTCTGCCCCCAGCCCTGTCACTGCCTGAGCTTGGCCTCCCCGTCAGGGTCCCTGCACTGCATCTGCCCTGGTTTGGAGGTTCCCGTCTCTGAAGGAGTCACTTGTGACCCCTCATTTCCACACCCCAGAAATACTGAGGGTGGTGGAGTGTGGGAGATCACCTCTGTGTAGTCTCCAGCAGGGGTGCTGCTCTTCGCAATGGCCCATAGCAAGGGTCTCTCCTGTCTGTTGTCTAGTGGCTGGCTCCAATCTGAGTCACCCTCAGGATGCTGCTGCTCGTCACCGGCAGTCCGTCGCACAGGCTCGTGGTGTCTCCAACTGCAGTTTCCCTGTGGGCACGGAGATTCTCTACGGACTTGCCCTTAAATCCTCTGTTTCACTTCAACAAACATGTTCACATGGTCTTACGTACTCGCTATTTCACAAGAAACGGCTTGAAGACGTTTACCGAATTTGTTTCTGAAACTAAATAACGCATGCCATCAGTTACCTCATACTTGGTGTTTTTTGTTTTTTTTTTAAGATTTTATTTATTCATTCGAGACACAGAGATACAGAGAGAGAGAGAGAGAGCACGAACAGGGGGAGAGGCAGAGGGAGAAGCAGGCTCCCCGCTGAGCCAGGACCTGGATGTGGGGCCCGGTCCCAGGACCCTGAGATCATGACCCAAGCCGAGGGCAGATGCTTAACCATTTGAGCCACGCAGGCGCCCCTCATTATTTGGTGTTTTATAAATAACAGCCGTGGCTCCCAGTCTGTTTCTTTCAGATAACCTGTTGTAACTCACTTTGAAATGAAAGCAGTTCGCCAGCTGGGGGTGAGGGTGACAGGGCCCAAAGGGTTATCACAAGTTAGGGGTCCCAGAGAAGGTTCTAGAGCCTTTCCGTAGCAGGCTGTGTTGTGGGGGGTGTGCAGCATGTTTCCCCTTCCCTTTATTGTCACGGCTCTGCCGACCCCGAGACAGACTGTGGTGCAGGTGGAGGCTCCTGGCCAAGGCTCCGTCAGGCTGGAAGGTGCCTTGGCCATTAGGCTGGAAGGTGCCTTGGAGGGCTACAGCTGAGGGTGTGGAAGCCCTCCCAGAAGGAGTGTGTGCGCTTTGGCTTCTGGTAGTGAGAACCGGCTGTGGTCGGCCCCTCTGCCGGGTGGCCTGTCTAGGTCCCGGCCGTGCAGCTCTCTGGGCCGCTGCTGCATGCGTGCTTGGATTTTGTTTTCATTCCTGTTCAGTTCTGTGATCATTTCTATTGTGGGGGAAGGGATTTCTGGGAGTCAGATTGTGCTAAAAGGGTTCAGAATTAGAGTTTTTTTAGTTACTTACTGCCTTCAGGAAATCCGGAGCAAATCTTACAGTAAAGATTTTATTTTAAAGTGTTTTAAAGATTTTATTTATTTATTTGAAAGAGAGAGAACAAGCAGTGGGAAGGGGCTAAGAGAGAGAAAGAGAGAAGCAGGCTCCCTGCCAAGCAGGGAGTGCAACGTGGGGCTCGATCCCAGGACCCTGAGATCATGACCTGAGCTGAAGGCACTCGCTTCACCGACTGAGCCACCCAGGCGCCCCTTGCAGTAAAGATTTTAGACTATTTTCTCTCCACTATCAGTACATTCTGGGATTCATAGACCTTCCTGGAAACTAAGATAAACTCACTGAAACTCACTGTTCTAGCGACGTCAACATGTTTTCACACTCATTGGCTAGAAAGCACATGTTTTTGAGTCCCAAGCCCTGCTGGGCACTAGAGAAGCCTGAAGCCCCATGGTGCCATGGGAGTGCCTGCCAAGTAGAGGGAGGCCCTCCCAGGAGTGTGCAAGGCTGGGCCCCCCCCCAGGATGGGGTGGCGCGGGGTAGTCATGGCAGAACCCCACCTAGCATGGGCAGTCTACAGTGGTTGGGAGGGAGGGGGGCAGCAAGCACTCCCAGTGGGGCCTCCTGCAGATGGCACTGGGGGGCTGATGGGGGGGACTCAAAGGACCCAGTGGTGCTGTCTGACCTGCCCCCTGTGACCTGTGACCTGGTGACACCAACAAGGCGTCAGAAAGTGGTCACAGAGAGTAGGCTGGTGTCTCGAGAGCCAGGGCTGCCTGGTTGGCCAGAAATGAGCCCTTGGGTTCAGGTGGCTGTGTCTGTTTATGGTGGCAGCTGGACAAGGGCTGACAGCGCCACGTATTCGCTCTCAAGGTGGGCCCAACGGTATCTTTGCCCTCTCTGGCCACTGCGCAGACACTGAGGTCATGGCCACTGGTCATCCCAGAAGACGAACCCGTGTGCGGGTGGATGGGGCAGGAGGGCACGGAAAGGGTGGTCTCTGCTGTGATCCAAGGCTACCCTTTGCACTAAGAATGGTGGCCTGAGATGAGGGTCCCCCGGCTCAGAAAGGGTGTTGTAAGACAGCACGGGAGGCTGGGGGGCCTGGGGGGGCTCCCAGGAGTCTACAGGCTGCATGTCCACGCTGTCAAGCGCATCCCCCCCCGGGCGTGGTGGAGTTTTGACATGAGAAGTTTCCCAAATAAAGTAACAGAACGAGGGGATTTTTCTGCCTTCTATCCCAGACCCAGGGCCCTTGTGGGTCTGTCTTCACTGCGGGAGGCAGACACTTCATGTCCCAGGTAGTCAGTGTTGTGGTGAGGAAGCAAGGGAAGTGGCCACCTGAGTTTTAGATGAGGTGGAGTGGGGTCAGAAAACGGTTGTTGCGGAGCTGAGAGGTTGAGACCTGGCCATGCCGCTTCGGTCCCCTCCCTGGTGGCCAGGCATGTGCTCACTAAGGGTTCCTGTCTCCTCCTCTTGGGTACTCTCTGGGCACTTGGCGTCCTTGGCTTATGGGTGGTGGCTGTTCCTTCTGTTGGGTTGGTTCAACTGGTGTTTCTTCTCAGCTACAAGAAGACTCAAGAAACTCTCTCTCAGGCGGGACAGAAGACGTCGGCTGCCCTGTCCACCATGGGCTCCGCCATTAGCAGAAAGCTCGGGGATATGAGGTGAGATGCTCTAGCTGCATGGGCCAGTCGGGTGAGGGTTTAGGGGTTCTAGAGCTGCTGGAGGCTCTGCAGGGGCCCAGGGCTCAGAGGCATACCCCTCGGGGGCCCCTTGGCACCCATAGATGTGGGCCCACCAGCCTGGACCAGTTGGTTCATGGTCCCTTGTCTGTGGGCTGCCTCTTTGCCATTTCTGTGTTTCTTGAGGGAGAGGGTCATTGTTTCTTTTGGGTAACTTCTAATGCTTGGGATCTGTAAAGGCGGGTGCTTCCCTCTGAAGTTCCACAGAGGGAAGATGGCCCCGTTTGGGGGTCAATGTCAGGGTGGGGCGTCACTCTGGGCAGGCCGGCGGGTTGGGGCAGGGGGTAGGGGAAGCGTATTGTTTTCTTGGAATGTTTGCCTGGCCCCAATCTCAGAGAGTGTGTGACTGTGTGCCAGGGGCCCCAACTGAGTGTTCTCCCCCAGAGCTGATGAAACCTTCATGGCCATCGGAGGTGCCTCTTGAGCAGGGTCTGGGGCCAGGGAGTGTGGAGGCAGCTTGGACACTTGCTGGGCCATACATGGCAGCACCCACCCACAGCCTTTCCTGCCCTGGGCTCCATGGCCACACCCGCCAGGTCTCCTTTGCTTCACAGCAGTGAGCCAAGGGCTTGGACCCTGGAGCCTGAGGCCATGGTGTGAATCCTGGCTCGGCTGCCTCCTTGTTGTGCCCTTGGCAAGGCATCCCTCTCGGGATTATTAGGATGAAGCGTGCACTGCTGAACAGCAGTGTGGAGTGCACTTCATTACCATTGCCAACATCCTGGCCGTTACTGCCCAGCCCTGCCCTGGCCCCTGACCCACACTCAGGACCAGTCCCCTCACTTTGGGATTTCAGAGAATGCCTCTCTGCGGCCCCCACCCCATGCTGAGGCTTCTGTCTTCTCACAGTTGAGAATCACACTGTGGTGATGCCTGTGGGCTTGGTGTGCTGAGTGTAGCGTTGGGGGTCCGTCCCGCTCTGTAGCCCCTCACCTCTTACCCTCGGGTGGGCTGCCTCCCTGCCTGCTTCGGTTAGGCATTTCCTCACCTCACAGGCCTGGCAGTTGCCTTGTGGGGCCTCAAGGTGGGGGCTGTGCCCTGGCCACATAGCCAGGGGTGACGACACAGACCCTCTGCCCCTCGGCTTATGCCCAGGGCCGTGCTCACCTTTTGTTTGTTTGATGGAATTAGCTCCCCTCCAATTTTTATTTTGAAAAATTTCAAATTTTCAGCAAGGCTGAACAGTTCGTATGCGGTCTGTGTGTTTCCTCTGTGCTAAGGAGTTCGCATTCCCACAGTTGGGGTCTGGTCCTGCTCCTGAGCAGCCATGGCTGGGAGGTCCTCTGGTCCACAGTGGCTGTGATCCACTCGGGCCCTACCAGCCGTGGCTCTGAGTGGACCGCACGGAGGGTCACTGGTTCCTCCCGTAGGCTTCACGGTAGTCTGCTGATACTTGACTTCGTGGGTGTGTTCCTGTAACGAATCTCATTTGAAATTAGATGGGACGCCATCGCTGCCGCCCTCTGGGACACCTGCTTTGGCCCCCTGAGCCGTGCTGTGGTGAGCCCGGTGACAGACTCATCACGCCCCCGGTGGCTGGAGCGCCACGGAGCAAGCCGCGTGTCGGGTTGTGCCCGTTCCTTCCTCGGAATGCTGGGCTGGGAACAGCATCTGAGGGAAGCAGCGACTGTCTGCGGTGCCTGAGTTACGCGCTCACAGGAGCGTCCTCTGTCACTTCGGGCGCTACTCCCCTCCGTGTCCTCACTCGCGTTCGAGTGCGTGCGGTGTCGGCGCTGCTGGGAATGGCTGTGGTGGCGCTGTCCTGGGCCACTGTGGCTCCGTTCCGCGCCTGTTCCTTCGTTACCGCTCCCGCTCCAGGAGCTGGTGTTGGCTGCTCCCCCGTGGCGTGTCGCCTCCGGTCACGTGCTTCACACACGGGGGCCAGCCGGCGGGAGGAGCCGGGTCCCGTCCAGGTGCGCAGAGGGACTGTCCCGTTTGCTGCTGCGCGTCACCTTGGGGCTCTCTGGTTTTATTCTGCTGTTTTCAGGGGCACGGTGAAGTCTGACACCTCCGGGTCCTCAACGGGTCCGCCATTGCCTCACCACGTGGTCTCAGGTGGTTTCTGAGGCCACGGCCTGTTAACCTCCCCAGTTTGGAGCTGAGGTTCAGAATCTACCACTGCTTGAGAATGAAAACGAGGTCCAGGGAAATTTATGTGTATTTAGACGTCTGCCGCACGTCAGTGTCCTCGATGGGCCTGTCCAGGAGCAGCCCCGGCCTGAAAGGCTTTTTGCGTGCCCTGGGGCACGAGGCGGCAGGCTGGGGGAGGGCATTGGATTTGGGTTCAAGCAGGGATGGGTCTCTGTCTAGCTTGGTGACTTGTGACAAGGCACCTGCCTTCCCTAATCCTCAGACTCCTCCTCCTTCCACCTGGAGATGGCAGGGCCTGCTGCCCACCCACATGGCCGTGTTGCTTCTGAGATGACCTCCGTGTTGGGGCTAAGAGGTGGTAGGCCTGGCTGTGTCGTGGAGGACATGGCTGTGTTGCCCTTGGACACACGTGTTTCTAGGTTGGAATCTGTCAGCTGTACTGATGGAGCCGGAGTGCAAGGCGCTCAGCCCTGGGGGTGTCCCAAGGCCTGTTGCAGCGTATGTGTGTGCTCTGGTCCGGCCGAGGCCCTGTGGAGAATGCAGGCCAGTCTGTTGACGCAGAGCGTGTCGGCTGAGCCTGGCTGACCTGGGTTCTGGGCACACACGGACCCTGAGGGTGGTGGAGCCTGCCTCAGCACACCTCACACCTCTGCACTGCTCCTCTCTCTGTGGCTTCTTCCTTCTAACTCCAGGCAGGGTCACGGACATGCAGGTGCCTCGTCTGTGACCCAGGTGGGGTCGTGGAGGGGCCGGTCATGTGCCTCTCACAGAGTCGGGCCTTGGGGAGAGTGGAGACGGGGTGCATGTCCTGCTCTCCCTGGTGGTGTGAGGAGTGGGGGTGGTCATGGGGGTCCCTGCGTGGCCTCCCTTCCCTAACACTACGTTTCTTCTCCTCCTGCTGCCACCTCTCAGGGCTCGTCCGTTCTCACACTCCTTTAGGTAAGACTGCTGCTGGACGTACCTGTAGAAGGCTCTTCTTTTGATGCAGGGCAGGGTGGTGCCTGGCTGGTCTGTGGAGGCTGCGCTGGAAGAAGTGGTGAGGGCGCCACGGCCCATTGCTCACATAGCCAGGCCCGCCAGGTGTTGCGGCCTGCTCGAGAGCTCATGGCGCTCCTCGGGCTGTGACTATGTGGCTCATCGCCAGCCTCCAGCCCAGCCTCACGGAGCTTGTCCTGCAGCTCCCACCTGCGTGTATTCCTGAGAAGAGACCTATTCGTGTGGGAGGGTCATGCTGGCCCTCTCGCTGTTGTGATCAGTGCCTCTTCCTCCAAAACGCTGGCTCCTCTCCTGTTTTCTCCTCCCCCTGAGAAGCAGTCTTGTCTCTGTGAGTCGAGATGGTCTCGTCTGTCTTGTGAGAGCAGCCAGCAGCACTGGGACCCCTCGGGCATCCTCCTGAGTGGTCCTCACTCCGTGCTGATTCAGTCATGCTTTTCTAGCCTGACACCAGCTGCTCTGTCACACACTCTTCTAGCTTGCAGGCCTGGAACCCAAACCCAGAACAACGTGTGATTGGAAATATTTTTACTTACTTGACCTGGTGGTTTCTCTTTTGCCAAAAAGTGACTTCATGGGCGCCTGGGTGGCTCAGTTGGTTAAGCGACTGCCTTCAGCTCAGGTCATGATCCTGGAGTCCCGGGAT